TGCCATACCAGAAGTGATATGTGACATGGAGCCTTTCCATTGTGATCATAAATTACGGTGAATGCTGCCAAGTGCCATACAGTGGAAAGGCAGGGATCTTCAATATGGAAGTGGCACGTCAGACCTTCGTAACAGCGTGTGACAAGTTTCAGCTTTTTCGGTGCAGTCAGTCAGGTGTTAGCTACAGCTGAGAGAAGGTGTGTTTTAAAGTGTGCCATAAATCATCCTCCATCATGACAGCACTCCGTGTCACACATCACTTTTGGTATACGGCAATTTCTGTCAAATAAAAACATTACAGTGTGTCCTCATATACTTTATTCACCGGATCTGTCACCAAGCAACTTCTGGCTCTTTTCCCCAGTCAAAATGATCATGAAAGGTAAACGTTTTTAACCGATTTAGGACATGGAGGCAGCCATGACAGTGCAACTAAAGAGACTCACGAAAGAGAACCACCAAAACTGCTTCAGAAAGTGGCAAGAACGATGGGATAAGTGTGTTCAAAGTGAGGGGAGTATTTTGAGTGGGTTTGATGGCAATGTATCTTTACTGTAATAATTTTTTTAATTTAAACATTCACTGTGTTGTTTGATCTGACCTTGTATATCCGAAAGAATTGAAAGCAGGGACTTGGACAGATTCCTGAACATCAGTGTTCATAACAGCATTATTCACAACAGCCAAAGGTGGAAACAATCCAGTGTCCATCAGCAGATGAATGGATAAACAAAATGTGGTCTATAGATACAGTGGATTATTATTCAGCTATAAAAAGGGATGCAGTTCTGACACATGCTGCACCATCCATGAGCTTTGTACACATGCTAAGTGAAATAAATAGACAAAGAAGGACAAATAGTACGAGATATATATATGTATATATATATATATATATATATATATATATATATATATATATAATCTAGAATAAGCAAATTCATAGAGACAAAAAGTAAAGATTAGAGGTTATCAGGGGCCGGGGATGGGAGAAATGGGGAGTTATTGCTTAATAGTTACAGAGTTTCTGTTTGGGGTGATGAAAATGTTTTGGAAATACTGGTGATGGTTGCACAACATATGAATGTAATTAATACCACTGAGTAGTATACTTAATAAAATGACACCTTTCATGTTATATATGACCACAGTATTTAAAAATTAATGTAATATACCAAACACCATTGAATTATATACTTTAAATGGGTGAATTTTATAGCATGTGAATTATACCTGAATAAAGCTAAAAACAAGTAATAAATGCTTTTCTTACTTTTCCTCAGAGGTTTGTTCATTACCTTTTTAACTTAATTAAATATGCACAGGTTAACAAAAGTAAATCAGAATTAGACACAGAAATCTGAATCTTAGCTCCAGTATTTTAAAAGTCTTTGTAACCCTGAGCAAATTCACTTTTCTTAGACTCTTTGGTCATGTGTAAAATGAGACCAGTATAGCAAACATACCTCTCATGCATCACCTACCTAAAAGTATATTTTCTGTTTCTATTTTAAAGAACTTGTATTACCTTGACCCATTTTATTTCAGGAATAAATATAAAGTAAAGAGGCATGTGCTCTGACATTATACCAATCCATAACCATTGTATCTTGTGAGCCAGGCGTATCACAGAAGCATTAATCATACAACTCATGTTGCAGCATTCCCCAGCTCCTCCAATGATCTTTTCCGGGTTGTACAGTTTGTTTTGTTTTGTTTTGAACCTAATGGTGTATTTGTTTGAATGTTGCCTGTTTTCTCAGCCTCCCATCTAATATTTGCAGACAGCTCTGTGTACCAAGTTCATACCCTGGTGCATCATGACAGATGCTCGGCCTTCTTCATAGTATTTTATTATAACTTTGATTGTCTTCTAAATTAATTAGATTTTTCAGGCCTTTCCCCCCTGCTGCTTAACACTAGAACAGATTGTTTACCTAAGAAACACTTTGTTAAAATTGTTTTTAAATGATACCATAAGTAATAATATTCATATCAGGATGAAAGTGTAGTGTAAGTAGCTATTGAATCAGATTCCAGGCACGAAAACAGAATCTAAACCAGGTAATGCAGGAAAGGGAATTTAATGCGAGGAAATAGTTGCAGAGGTGTTGGAAGAGTGAAAAACAGAGGAATATGAGGTAACCCAGAGTCTAACAGCTGCCAGAAACCAAAGACTAGCATAACAGAAGGCGGCAGGACCCAGCCACCCAGTGGGAATTAGAGCCTGAGAGGCTCTGCACCTGGCAAATGGCGTCAACAGCCGCTGCCAGAGCGCAGCCTGAGAGAAACGGGAGCAAAGTCACCTGGCTTCCCTCTTTCTCCTGATCTTGGGCCCTTGACAGTGTCTTCCACCCTAGGAACTCTCCTGGAAACCTGTAGGCACAGGAGCCTGGGGTATGTCATTTGCGAGAGTCAGCCCCCTGGTGCAGTGCCTCGGAGGGCAGAATGTAGTAAGGAATGGACTTGAGAGCAAGGTGACAGATGAGCATGACCATCGTTTGCATTGCTCTGAGCAGCTGCAATGCACACAGACAGCAGCGGGGCTCACACACGGTGCTGCTCACAGCTGGCCTGTAGTTTTATTTACTGGCTGGTTTAAGTTGGATTCTCTCCTAAGCAGACCTTGAGCCAAGCATTTGAGTGATGTGATTTGTTAAGGAAACCCTCCCAGGAGAGATCATTGAGGCGCTGTGGGAAGTAGGGTGGGAAGGGGAAGCAGCCAAGGAAGGGAGCAGTTTCTGGTGCGCAGGCCCAGTCCCGGCCTCCGGGGCGTTTATTTATACCTCAGAACCTTTCTCATCTTGAGCCAAGGGTGCTAGGTGTTCCGATCCCTGCCACCTACATACCACCAGCCATTGGGTGCTAGTCATCTTGGGAACGCAGACAGCGGCAGAGCAGGGCGGTTCTCAGTGAGCCTGCCCCTGGGAGCCTTAGCACCCAAACACGGAGCTGCTGGGGGTTGGACACACCGCGGAGGGAGAGTCTACAAGGGCGGCGGGAGACCGGAAGCGCCCAGAGTAGTGTCGCCTTGTAAGGGTAATAGAACTACAGCCTGCAGGTGACTCTACTTGCCAGGTCTAAAATTATGTGAGTCTTGGTTGTTTTTATTTTTTTTAATCTGGTGGAAATTCTTATAATTTAAAATTTTTGTAGAAAAGGTGAGTTTATGTTAATATTTTTATATACCACTTTTTCATCAAGTTGTTTGGGGAGAGAATTAAGTATTATATATAGTCTCAAATTTCTTACCCCACACATAGTAGTTTTCTATTAAACATGTCTTTTTCCATCTTGTAAGTATTACGTACTTGCCTTTACTGACTCAGTCCAGGTAGTATCCGGATTCCTGGTTTTTCATTGTAGAAATGTCCCCAAAGCTAGTTATTCTATAATGCCTGGTCATATTACTGCCGTTAGCTTCCTTGAGCTGTACTCTAGATTTTAGTTTTTTTATCTAATTTGTCTTTATCTAGTTAATGAAATCAGTTTCACTGTTGCCTGTTTTCCTGTGTCTTTTTTTAAATGTCTTGTTATAGTTCTGAAAGTCATACATGCTTTCTTTTTCTTTTCGTTTTGCTGCTCCTATCCATAGTTGCAAACCCTCACACATGATACTCCTTGGCTTATCAGTCTCACAGTTCTCAAAACACCTGTTTATAATAGTCTCAACATTGGCAGTTACTATTATAATACAATTAGATTTACACAGAGTGGCCTTGTTTTTCCTTTCCCATAGACACCAGTTCGGATCTTCTTCATAAAATGCTTTTTATCTCTAATAGTGAGGATACACAGTTTAAATTTAACCTTCCGTTTCTCTCCTTTTTTCTGTTTTCTGTAAATGATAAACTTGTTCTGTAAACAACCAGAAAGTAACTTCTGGCTTTCTAAGCCATACAATCTCTGTTGTAACTAGTCAGGTCTGCCCTTGTAGTGCAAAAGCAGCCATAGCTAATATGTAGCCTAATGAGCTTGTTTGGGTTTTAATAAAACTTTGTCTATGGACACCAAAATTTGAATTTCATATGATTTTCACATTCATAGGTCTTTTGATCACTGTAGTCTTTTTACCCCCCACCAATGAAATGGAAAAACTATTCCTGGCAGATGGGCCACAGAGTCCATGCTTGTTCCAAACCCATTGTTTTGGGCATGCTCCTATAGCTTAACCCAATCACTTGCTATGGTTACCTTAATCTGCATTGCTCATTATAGGGTCTTTGCACCTAGCAGCAGGGGGAAATGAACGGCCAGACTCTCATCTTAGCAGAGCTAAAATAAGTATTAAATGTCAGCCAGCTTTTGGGCCCCTGAAGTTTTAAATTCAAAGACATAGATTTTAAGAGGTGTTTGATAAGACTCTTTCAGAAGAAAATGTATTTGTGAATCATGCAATATTCCATGTATCAATTGAGTAGATACTGGGAATGATATTTATTCAGTGTAACATTTATCTGACTTGTAATTTACAGAGTACTTTCCACATGTATCATCTCACTTGATTTTCACAATATCCTTGTATACTAACTTGAAAGATTTTACCCCTATTTCCTAGGTGAGGAAAATAGCATGCAAGGTTAAGTGACTTGCTTAGGGCCCACTACTAGTAGGGGAGTGGCAGAACCAAGGCTTCTTGTTCATTGAACACTTATGGAATTTTAGAAAGAAAAAGTATTTCTCATTTATAAATGAGAAACCAAAAATCCAGGGCTAGTAATTTACAGAGGATGCTCTCAGGAATGCTGATCTCCTGATGACCAGGTCCATGTACTTCCAATTAGGCTGTGTCTGACATAGAGACAACTCAGTGAAGTTTACTAATATTTTTGATATTTACATGTCATAATTTTTTAAAAATTATGTTATCTTAAAAAGTATAAAGTAGAATGTTTTTGTTTCTGTTAGTGTACTTAATGTCCAACCATGTTTTAAAATTCAGGCTCCTAGATTTCAGTACATGTGGAATAAATGCAAACCTCGCTTTTTTTCCTTTTCAGCACCAGCATTGGATGTTGATTGGCAGAGCAACAACACCTTTGCTTCCTGTAGTACAGATATGTGCATTCATGTCTGTAAATTAGGACAAGACAGACCTATCAAAACATTCCAGGGACACACGGTGAGAGAGAGCCCTTTTCCCCTTAAAGTGATTATAATGAATAAGTAATGTTTCAGAGTGGTTTTGAAGTATGGATGTTTAATGTCCAAAGGGCAATCCAGTCTGTAAAATGAAAATATGAATGTTTACTGTTATTTTTAGAATGAAGTAAATGCTATCAAATGGGACCCAACTGGCAATCTCCTGGCCTCCTGTTCTGATGACATGACTTTGAAGGTAATTTGGATAGTGGGGAGAAATGGGGTGGGGATGTCATATAGTGTGGTTTCTCTGGCCATTTGAACATTATTTAGAATGTCTTATAGTTCATTGAATGCTTAAATCCTGGTTTTTATATTTTCTTTCATGAAGTATTTCAAATGTTTGAATATAGCAAATTTCATTAAAAAGGTTGGCTGCAAAATAGGAATTATGATACTAAGAAATGTGCTGTTATAAATTATCTTCTTTTAGAAAGTCATATTGGCGCAATAAGTGTATTTGCACATGAAAAGATTTGACTGATAAGCAACAAAGATCTTTATAGCATTCATGGATTTGACTGAAATTCTATGAAGTGTATTAATTTGATTTTGCTGTGGTGTTAATGTATGTCATCTTTGCTGGGAAACTGATAGCAGAGAGAATCACTTAATTGGTGAGTGACTTGACATGCCAGCATCCACATCTCAACATTGACGTTTTTCTAGTTATGTGACTAAAAGCAAAACTAACACCTATCCACATCACATATTACAGAAGAGAAAAAAAGCATTTTGAGATAAAGAACAGCCTAAAGACTAATCTTCAGAATTAATGAAGCCCTTTCCTGTAACATGCTAACTCTGCCGAAAATAATTTTATTCTGTCCTCTGCAATGCCAGCGACTGCAGACTTGAGGACCTTACAGTTAGCATAATCATCAAGGAAACCGCTTTTCCTCCTCCAGTGAGCAGACTGAATGTAACCTTGGTGACCTGGTGGGGCTTTTCCTTAAACACCTGCTGTGTTTTTAGTGAGTTTTTCTCCAGCCTGGGCTCTCTTACAAACACTGCTAGTAAAAATGCCTTTCTTAATGCTTTTCTCTCTGAGTTTACTTTGCACACATGTGCATTACCCTAATGAAATGAAAAACTTGAGGAACAGAATGCGGCAAGTATGAGAATATGAAAGAAGGCTGGTGGCTAGAGAGCCTAGTGTCATGGATTGAGTTGCAGCTACAGAGAGAGTTTGACTAGGAAGTGTCAGAGAGCTTCTCTTTGCCCTAAGAATAATAGAAGGTCATAGAATTTTAAAGCAGAAACTAGATGAATAATGTGTACAGGAGCTGTATTCTGAGAACAAGGAACATCATATTGTTGAGAAGATCGTGTCAAGCTTGAACAGTGCCTTTGAGTCAGTCATGCAAGTGGAGGTGCTGCTAAGTGGGTCTGATGCTGAGAGAACTCAGTTTGACATAAAAATTTAGGATTTCTCAGCAGATGTGTGGTCAAAACCATGGGCGTGGACAAAACTAGGTATAGAGTAAGAAAAGAGGGAAACCTCAAAAAAAAAGTCTTAAACTCCAATAATTAGCAGCTCAAGAAGAAGGAGCTTTCCAAAGGGAAGTGAGAAGGAATGACCCATGGGAAAGAGAAAGTGTAGGGAAGGTGATGGGTGGGAGTGGTCAGCAGAGTCAGTGCTATTGAAAGGTCAAATGAAATAAGTTTTGGAGACATATCTTTTGGGTTTATTTACATTGAGTTACAAGAACTTAGAATACAAAAACATTGTGATGATACTTTATTATATCTAATTATTGGGTTGCCGGAAAAGTCATGACGTATTTTTTCTATGTTTTTCGTTGCAAAAATGCGTCATGACTTTCCCGACTACCCAGTAGTTACATTGCAGAAGTGTGAAGCCCAGCTAATTTTTGTGGGGTTTTTTTTTGTCCTCAGTTGGGTTTGGTGTTTATGTTTGGCAGGACTTCTCCTCATATTTTCATTGAATAATTTTGTCAGATTTTCCCTCAGTGTAGGTTTCTCTTAATTTTTGCTCAAAAATAACAGGAATTTTAAATCTATACATAGGCATATTTTCAACTAAGGAAAGGCTTATTCACTACTCACTGCCATTTTAATTTTAATTTTAACATTTGCTTTGTTACTTTTCATGGTTCTATTAAGCATTTTAAAAGTTTTAATTTTATTATGGTAAAGGACTTAACAATCTACTCTTAACAGATTTTTCAGTGTACAGTACAGTGTTGTTATCTGTAGGCACAATGTTGTACAGCAGATCTCTAGAACTGAATTTTATATTCCTTGATTAGCGACTCCCTCTTTCTCCGTCTCCCAACCCCTGGCAACCACCATTCTTTTCTTTGCTTCTGAGTTTTATTCTTTTAGCTACATCATAAAATGGAATCATGAAGTATTTGTCATTATTAAGATTCAGCAATGTTGTCACATATTGCAGGATTTGCTTCCTTTTTAAGGCTGAATAATATTCCGTTGTGTGTACATACCACATTTCTTTATCCATTTATCCATTGATGGACACTTAAGCGGTTTCCATATCTTGGGTTTTGTAAATTATGCTGCAGTGAACAAAGGAGGGCAGATATCTCCTCAAGATTTCAATTCTTTGGATAAATACCCAGAAGTGCGATGGCTGGATCATATGGTAGTACCATTTCCACTATTTTGAGGAACCTCCATACTGTTTTTCATAGCAGCTACTCCATTTTGCATGCCCACCAACACTGTACAATGGCGCTAATTTCTCCACATTCTTGACATTTATTGTCTTTTTTTTTACCGTATTTGCCGGCGTATAAGACGACTGGGCGTATAAGACAACCCCCTAACATTTCCACTCAAAATACAGAGTTTGTTATGTACTCGCCGTATAAGACTACCCCCTCTTCCGCACACCTTCCACACACCAAATAAAAGGTAAAACAATATCAGATTTGATTTGGCCCACTGAAG